AATAGCATTTGAATCAAATTCCTGCAAATATACCATGTAATCATTTGGAATAGCAAACCTGCGAACCCTTTGGGACCGTCTCAGTTCAACAACTATGTCCCTATCACCCTCTAAAGGTGGTTCATCTTGAGCTTGATTCTGATCCACGGCATTATTTTTGTCAACATGAGGAGTTGTCAAGATAGGCATAGGCAAAATGCTACTTTCGTCATGCAAGGTAATATGCCTAGGCACAGAGCTCCCACTGTCTAAGGCATCTTCAAAGAAGTAAGCTCGATTAGATTCAATTACCCTAGTAGTGTGATTTGGACAATAGAATTGTACCCACGAGATCCGATGCAATAGCCAATAAAGAAACCATCAACAGTTTTAGCATCAAGCTTCATCTGTTGTGAATTGTAAGGTTTTACCTGTGCTTTACAACCCCAAACTCACATATGCTTCAGCGCAGGAGTCCTTCTAAAATACAACTCATATAGAGTCTTTGGAACGGACTTGTTAAGAACTTGATTCAAAATATAAATAGCAGTTTTAAGTGCATCACTCGACAAGAATTCCGACAGTGAGGAGTGACTGATCATGCTCCTAACCATATCCATGAGAGTACGATTTTGCCTTTCTGCAACCCCATTTTGCTGCGGGGTGCCAGGCATAGTATACTGAGCTTCAATGCCGTGCTCTTGAAGGTATAAAGCAAATGGCCCAGGGTTCCTGCCAGTCTCAGTATATCTCCCATAAAATTCTCCTCCTCTATTAGATCTCACACACTTGATCAACTTGCCAGATTTCAATTCGACTGCTGCTTTAAAGGTCTTGAATGCATTAAGGGACTCGCCCTTTTCACGTAAGAGTTCAATCCATCCATGATGAGAGTAATCATCTGTGAAGGTGATGAAATATCTGAAACCACCCATAGCCGGAGGCGTGATAGGTCCACGGATATCAGTATGGATTAAGTCTAAAGTGTTTTCAGACCTCTTTGCCCCTTTAGTTCTAGCTCTAGCAGGAAATTTTCCCTTTATACAGTCAACACAAGTCTCAAAATTTGAGAAATCAAGGTCTCGTAAGACACCTTGCTTGATCATGCGCTCCAATCTCTCTCTAGAGATATGACCCAAACGACGATTCCATAATATAGAGGATTTATCATTGGGCCTTTGACGTTTATGCCCAATAGCAGTATTGACATGAAGATTAGGAAGTTCGAGTGACCAATCATTCAATCGATATAAACCATATATCAAGGAAGCGACACCAATATTAATGGAATCAAAACAAATGTTAATTTTCCTATTTCCTTGGAAGAATGAATAGCCACAAATATCTAATGCAGAAGTTGAAATTAAATTTCTCTTCACAGAAGGTACATAAACAACATTGTTCAAATGCAAAACATGACCAGAATTTAAATACAAAGAAACAGTTTCAATGCATTCAACTGATGCCTTGCTTCCTACTATGCCAAAGACTGACCTCTGTGCCTCACTTGGAACCTTCTGGTTTCTTAGCCCTTGTAGAGAATTCACAACATGTACAGTAGCACCAGAATCCAGCCACCATGAGTCAAAAGAAGTTTCAATGGTATTAGATTTAAAACAGACTAGAGCTAGAGGGGCAGTTTGAAGAATTGTACCTTCACTTTCTTGTTTGTTCTTCAATTTGAAGCAATTAGCTTTAATGTGACCCGGTTTCTTGCAATAATTGCATAACCCTTTAAAGGGTTTCTTCCTCGACTTCTCACTCTTATCACCATCCTTCTTAAAGGTTGGATTATTAGGCTTTAGGGCATCATGTTTCTTCCCCTTTTTCTTATATGACCCTCTAAATTTGCTGCTTGAGCCATGAGAAACATAGTTTATTGAGTGAGAGAAATTCTTCTTTATAGCTTCCTCTTCTTGAGTGACTATCGATATCATCTGGTCAACAGACCATTCAGCTTCTTGTGAGTTGTATGAAGTCCTCAAGAATGCATACTCTGATGGCAATGATTGAAGAACACGGTAAACCAAGGTACTTTCATCCAAATCAATCCCATATGACTTAAGCTTGTTATAGTAATGAACAAGCTTCAGAATGTGCTCCCTGACACCACGTGTTGAATCTGAATATCTCAATTCATTTGTATAATAAAATATGATAGAATAAAGTAATTTATGCGTACCTGAAGAATCCATGAATGTTAGAGAAATCTCGATTACCTCGAGTATAGGCAGATATACAACCCATAGGTCCCCAAAGCCTTCAGAGAGTTCAGAGATAATGAAAGTAGAGAAATGAGTCGTGTTTTTGCGGTTACCGACTAATCGTCTTATATAGATCAGATTGATAACCGCCTTATTAAATAATTAAATAATTATATTATCTATTATCTCTGACTCAATCAGTTAAGAGATAGGAAATAACTGACGGCTACTGGGTTGTGCGTTGGGTCTCTACCCATTGGGCTCACTTGTGTGGTCCACCTATCACGGTCCACACAAGATTATAAGGACCAATTTATTGGGCTTATTAATTAATGCTAATTTATAAATAATATTCTAACAGTAAATACATGCTCCATAATATTATCATAAGAAGATGACAAAATAATGAAAGGTAACATGATAAAATATAAAATTAACTATAAATCACTAATATCCCTATAGTGCAGAACGAAGGTATATACGTTGTCCTGGTTGTTAAAGAGATGTTGAAGAGGTTGAAGAGGTTGAAGAGGGACCTTGCTTTCGAGCTTATAGTTAGTGTGACCGTCTTCCCCGTGGAAACATGAGTTGGGATTCAGTCAATATTAGATTTTAGATCAAAATCAAACACTAAAAAATTATAACGAATAAATAATTAATTCAAATTTACGTTAGATAAAGTCATGTTTTAAAGCTGAAAATATAATTGTTGATTTCTATATTTTTAATTTATTTTGGTATTAATTTTTATATTTTTATTCATTATTTCAAGTCCCTTAAATTTCTTTTATTTATAACATTGGTCTTGAGTTGATGTATGCATAACTTTATTAATTCTATTGCTAAATTTGTAAATTATGATAAATTGAATAACTACTAACTTTTTTACTTGCCTATAATCCTAATTTTCACGTTTTTTTTATTTTCAAAGCATTATCTATTATGTATTTAAGGATTTTGATATAATGTCTTGTTTTTTCCTCCCTTGCCTTCCACTCATCTCTTATATCAACTCATCATAATTTTAACAAATTATACACGATAGCTATTGTTAAGTCTTTATTATCATGTCTAAAATTATAGAAATTAATATTGTATAGAAATAAAATTTAAGGTACTTGCAATAATGAAAAAAGTATAGTGACTAATATTAAAATATCCTCTAGCTTAGTTTAGATAGATTGAAAAGTGTGAAGAAGATTAGGAGAAAAATTTGAAAAAATATTTTTAAAGTTTTTCTGTTTTTTTTTCTCTCCATTTTCTCTTATATAAATCAAGAGTAAAATTATAAGGACCAACTTTTATTCTCCCTAATTTTTTAACATAATATTTTTTTTATTTTTGATTTTTTCGGGCTAATGGAGTCATTTTGGGACTCCATGCAGCTAATGATTATCCGTGAGAAAAATGTTTAAATTATTTTATTTGACTTTCCAAAGGGAAAAAAAGAAAAAAAGTTCAATCAGGTATGTTACATCATGTCATGCACGAGCATGGAACATGCACATGGCACATGTTTTCGCGGCGTGACGTGTCAAATATCCAAAGTATCAATCATCAATCAATTTTACGAAAATAAAAAAATAGGAATAAGAATTTATTCTAATAATTGACGGCTAAATAGAATACTACATGATCAAGTTAGATAATAGCAAAAATTTGTTATTAAATTCCTTTGTTATCAATTCCGAAACTATGTGTTGTTATAATAATAGCAAAAATTTGCCCTTTTTAAATAATAATTTATTATTAATCTTTATTTATAAATAATTTTTTAAAAATTTGCCATTTTTTTAAATAAGATTAGATTGTTCAGACACAAAGGATGTTAAAAATTATACTAAAAGAATTATTATTAAATCATTTAATAATCCTTAAATCTAAGTTAATACTTATTCTGTCTAAAATTATAAAACACCTTTGAATAAAATATCATATACTAATAAAATTTATAAAATATACTTTACAATTATATTTTTTAAAAAATATAAATTTTTTAAAAATACTCTTATTTAATATATTAAAAAAAAGGACATAAATTAAAAAATATAGTAATATTACAATAAATTTATTAAATAAAATTTTATTTTTTCCATCCCAAATTATAAAATATTTTTAAATAAGATTTATAGTCTCAAAATATAAAATATTTCAAAAAAATTAAAGTTTCATTAAATTAACTAATTTTAATATTAATCTTTTTTTTATATTTAATACTAATTAAGCGTATATTTAAATTTATTAAATAGATGATATTTTTTAAAATTTATACTTTTATTTAAAAAAATAAAATTATTAAACATATTTAATACTCCATTCGTTAAAAAATATAAGATATTTTTTGAAAAATTAAATATTAAAAGTATAAGATATTTTTAATCTTTTGAAGTGTAATTATTATCTTTTTTAAAAATATTTTTATTAATAATAATTTTATATTTATTATAAAGTATTTAATAAAAATAAATATAAAAAGGTAGAATTAATTTGGAAGTAAGTAATTATTTTATTAAAAAATAAAATTTAATTAAAAATATTTTATATTTTTAAATTAAAAAGTTAAATTTATTAATATATAAGATTTTTTTAAAAAACGTTTTATAATTTGAAAAAAAGAGTTTTTATTTTAGTACTTCGAATCTTTTAAAAGGTATTTTATAATATAAGATTGAGTGCTAAATTAAAAATCTGATGCGACTGAACAAAGTGGCAGAGAAGATTTTTTTGAAAGAAACGAGGCGAAGCAGATATTTTGCCGAAATGGGCTCCATGTTTCCCCTAATAGTAAAGCTGCACATTTTCTCGTGCTCCATACTTTACATCATTCACATTCTGACTGTTCAAAAAGGAAAGTTGATAAAGTCTCTCTCTCTCTCTATCTCATCTCTCTGACTTACTGCATCTTCAACGAGCGAAGCAAAACATGAACCAAATCCAGTGAAAGAGCTGTTCCTTCTTCTCGGGTTTGATTAATGCTCAATAACAAGAAAGGAAAAGGAAAGCCATAAATATCGTACATTAAAGCAAGGCCATTACGGTACAGCGAAGATGGTTGGCCCCAAATCGCGGAGCTCTGAAAGCGTTCCTTGCGATTTCTGTACCCAACAAACAGCTGTTCTGTATTGCAGAGCTGACTCCGCCAAGCTCTGTTTGTTCTGCGATCAGCAGGTTCATTCCGCTAACTTGCTCTCTCGCAAGCACTTGCGCTCTCAGATCTGCGATAATTGCACCTCTGAGCTCGCCTCCGTACGATGCAACACCGACAACCTTGTTCTCTGCCAAGACTGCGATTGGGACGCTCATGCCTCCTGCTCCGTCGCCGCCTCTCACCATCGTACCTCTGTTGAGGGTTTCACTGGTTGTCCATCTGCATCTGAACTCGCTTCGCTATGGGGGTTTCATTTTGAGACCAAGGCTAGAGATCAATCTCCTTCTTCTTTGATTCAAGACTGGGGTGATTATCGGGATTTGTTTGTGCCCCTCGAATCCTGCCTGTTTAAATCTGATGGCGTCCCTCTTCAAGTTCATGACCTCATGGTTCCCAGAGAAACCGGTATGCTTTACCCGTCACAGGATTTCCAGGCGCTCTGTAACGCTCCCAAGAAACAAACTCCCTTGTGTGGGAAGCAGAAGCAGGTTATACACAAGCAGTTGGTGGAATTGCTCAAGAGGGATTCGGTGGTTGTTGATGCTGGTGGCGGTGGCGGTGATGTTGACGGTGACGGTGGTGCTATTCCAGCTCGGATAAGTGCTGCTAATGAGGCTGAGAATTTGGTTCCTGAAGCGCCGAGAAAGTGCCAGGGGAATGGGCAACCATTTGTTTTGGGAAAGGAGGTTCAAGAATTCCCAGCACTTGCTGCTTCTCAGCAACCATTGCAGCAACAGGCGCCAGTTACGTCTCCGTTTATGATGCCTTCGCAGTTGCATCATCATAATGGAGGCGATCGATCATGGAACAATAATCCCAGCAAGCACTCTATTCAGGTCAAACCTTGAATAGCTTTGGTACTTTTAAGTTGTTCATGATCCGTATACTTCCCTTATACTATTTACTTTACTCCTCCTTACATGTTTACGTACTTAAAAAGGTATAGTAGAATGTGCAGTGCGGAAGGGTATTTCGTGGAGGTCCTAGGCTTGGGTATGCTCTGAGTTAGAGAATTGCGTTTTTACTTTCTTTTTTCTTGACCTGTAATTGTTGCTATCTGTACTGAACGTGGATTTTGCTTCCAACTTTGTAGCACTTCACATCATGGACTTATTTTAAATATGTCTCTTATATGTTATATTTCTATTAAAGGATTGCATGTTGAAGATTTAAATAATGGCATCGCTAAGCTTTCACTTGTTGTAGTGACTAATGAGAGTGATCATTCAATCACCCTCCGTTCTCATCACTGCTGCCAAGGATATTGATTAATTAACTGTTCCCTTAATTTAATCTTTTGTCAAGCTACTTATTGGCTGATTATTGCTATGCAGTACACCAGTCAAATTTTGTTATGGGGCGAAAAGATCTAGCTGAGTTTCTGCCTTTTTGCAGATATGGGATTTCCATTCTGGACGACTTAGGGATCAGGAAGAATCAAGTGCACTTGAAGCTGCCTATGTTGCAAGTGATGGTGGATTTGTGGCTAAGAATTTTAGTGAACTTATCAGAGAATCATCCATGACTGACACAAAATTGTTGCAAGATATATATAATATGAATATTGCTTACAATGACATGGCATCATATAATGTAAACCCTCTCACTGCTTACCCTCACTTCCCCTTTCCTTATTACCCATTGTTATTCTGGAGTATCATTGACTTACAGATGTTGCTAATTTTTGAACCAATTTAATTGTTTCTCCCGTCTGAGGTGGACATGACATGGAGCTATTTCTAGTGTCCTTGTGCCATTTTGGATGTTACGAGTGGGGCTATCTCTAGTCTGGTAGATGTTTATACATCGATATTAAAGAAGAACATCACTTGTATCTATAGTTTTTTTTTTTTTCTTAAAAAGCATGACCAACTGTTAACGTGATAATCCACAGAGATTTATTCAGAAAGAACCACCTTTTTATTATCAGTTGACTTTGAACTTGGAACAATTTTAAAGCACAGCATGTCAATACATGAATAATTTTGCTCATTGTGCCAGAGATATATGTTTCATGGCAGCATTTTAGTATTTGATTGAGAAATGTAATATTATAATGTCAGTAGTCCATTCTTAGACGCTTGAAGTGGCAGCTTATGTCTTCCCATAATAGCAGTGATTATTTTAATCGACTTATTGAGTGCTGCGTTGTTATATTGCAATTTTTAGCTGGTCAAGTCATTATTGAAGATGGAGTTGTAAAGATGATTTTCTTCTTTGAGTATTCTCTGTCATTCTTAATGATCTGAGTTTTGTTGCAAGATTAATTTCTTGAGTATATAATCTTTGTCATTCTCAATGAGCTGAGTTTTGTTTCTAGATTAATTCTGCCTGTGCCCAAGGTAGGTGGTGCAGAAAAATGAAAAAAAAAAAAAAAGAAAGCAAAGGAGGAAAAAGTTTATTGTCTTTACTGTATTATTTTGGGGTTACTTTTGTAGGGTATGACCTGTTAATCTGATGAAAATGCAGAACATGTCAAATAACCCAACAACGGCAAGTCAGGGGCCTGCAGCAACATCAGAGAGCAACAACATACCAAAAAGAAAGCAATCTGGGAATCCAGCTGCTCCTGGAAAGCACAAAGGTGACTATAGTGTCAAGGAGACACAGATTGGGGAACATCCTTTGCTTGTTACAGGTGACAACATGGGAAATGCAGGAAGAAGCAAGGCTGACATGGACCTGTTAGCCCAAAACAGAGGCACTGCAATGCTCCGTTACAAGGAGAAAAAGAAAACTCGAAGGTGGGTGAGCAGAGAGCAGTCTTTGTCGTGAAAAGTAATAAAGTTATTGAATCTGCGCCCCCCCGCCCCGGGTTTTTTTTTTTTTTGGTAATTTGGGAGTTTATGTTTGTAGGTACGAGAAGCACATACGATATGAGTCTAGGAAGATGAGAGCTGACACACGGAAGCGAGTCAAAGGCCGATTTGTGAAGGCTAGTGACGTCGATGCTCCTATTACTTAGCATTTTATGTGGCCTCCTCAGTTTCAGCTTGTAAATAAGTGTTCTGCTTCATAGAAATAGATGTTTTGATGCTTTGCTTTGGTAGTCAGAGATGTAAACATTAACAGAGAGATCTAGTTATTTTGTTTGCGCATTGTCAAATGAAATTGTGAGTTAGGTTCTAATTTGACGTTGGATATACTTTTTTTTTTTTTTTTTTGAGCGTAACGGGAGGGGAAAACCCTAACAATTACTCCCCCGATTCCTTTTACATGGCTTTTTTTAAGAAAGATTTTTGATGGGATGTTAATTTTTTTTAATATTATTTTTATTTGAATTCAGTAACTACACTAACTAGGAGAAAATGTAATTCAAACTTGAAAATCAATCATTTAAATTGAAGTAAAATTGAAAGTTAATTTTATTTTTAGGTCAAGTTAATAATTTAATCATTTTTTCTTAATTCTGGTGGAACAATTAAAAATATTTTATAATAAAAAGTGGAGAAAATGTATGAGAAGATCATGATGCATCGAATTTCAATCCTCATGAGGCGGCTCTAACGTGATGTTCGTCTGAGTGTTCATATCATGGGAATAAATTTTGATGCTCCCCAACACGACTATGGATATGCTTCGTTTCAGGCAATTTTCTAAATGATATTGCATTTGATGCCTAGATCGAATATTTTTTTTCAAAAGAAAAGTCAAACAATATTTATAAGAAACGAGCAAAAGCAAATAAGTAAATATTAAATAACTACATAAACTATAGAAAGAGATAAGCTAGGGAAATCATCCAATGGTCATGAGGATCTAATGCGTACAACTGTCTTGTTGGTGAAAGGTAGGATTGAAGTTTCAATTTCACGAACCAAAAGGTGCTGCGAAGGTCGACCCACTTCGCCACGCAAATTAGATCCATATCAGATAAAGCTGAAACCTGCCAAGATCTGATAGATCCCTGTTTTGCCCAATCCAGAATTGGTGAATCTAGTAAAGGCAAAGCAGACTGCGAATGCATGCAGGAGGGAAGGAATCAGGTTTCGTGTGTGGAGATTTGGTAAATAGAATACTTTGTTAGTTGTCTCCATTCAATATAGAGATATGATTCTCCTGAATTTCCTGAATTTTATTTTCCATTTATGCCCGTTTGAATCTATGGTGAATTGATTCTGCTGAATGCTGTAATCCACAATGCTCATCCGAAAATTTTGTTTGAGCACCACCGTTTGCTAGTTGTTTCAATTGATGCTGATTGTTGTTCCAACTGCTAGCAACTTTTAAAGATGTAACATGTTCATGAAATTCTCTAATTACTTAAGCTGGTATGACACAAATCCTCTAATGACACACGTCATTAACTACACTTAAACTCAATCAAATAAATCAATTATTATAATTAAGAAATTTAAAGAGGTAGAATCCTTGGCCAAAACACTTTTATAAACACCTTTGAGCAAATGGAATCCCAAAACAATTAAAAGTGGATATTACAAGTTAAGGCCTTTGTAAAACACTTAAAATCAAAGTATAAAGATTGTTGAAATATGGAAAAGGAGTTAAGCATTTAAACCAGGTTACAATAGGGGCAAAATATGCATTTCTACAAATTATGACACGTTTTCTGTGGCTAAAATCACGTTCACTGTATTTTATAGCATAAAGATTACTAATCATGGCCAATAGCAGGATCTGTCATGGCTCATGTATAATTATGGCACATTTTTGACAGCATTAAATATTAGCTTTCACAGCACCTAATTTTTAATTAAGACTTCTAATTAAGGCAATCCAAGTATTGATGCAAAAATAAATTAATATTTTATCTAATGGCTCCATTTTACCCAATTCTAATACCAGACGAGGATCCTAAAGCACTTGATACCAAAACAAACAATTATGCTAAAGGAACCAAAATCAAGTGTCTCCTTTCTGAAGCCATTATCATACGCATTCTATTAACAATAAACACATTCATGCATGACATATAATATATTATCTTATATGTAATAGTGAACTCATCCATCAATAAGACACATTTGCATGGGGGCCTTCCTCCAAAAACATAAAGCCTAACAACAAAATGCTCAAGTCTAACAAACATGCAAATGATTAATAATCTCCATGACAATTAAATCCTATGGTTGGCAAAACATATACTTCATTACAATAGAAGGAAACTAGAGATGTTACAATACAAATCTCTAGTTCTTGGTCTCAGAGGCTTCCCTTTTGCCCTTCGCTTTATCAACTCTTAGAAAGAAGTTAACATATGGAAATGAAATTATATAATCTGAGTAACTAAGCAATTTAATTAAAGCATATTAAAGTGTGAAAAATTAAAGATAAACGAATAACAATAACACGCAAGACAATTCAGGTGATAACATCAAAGCATCATTAAGCAATAAATCACATGATTTAATGCAACCATCTTATTCCACTCATTATATCTTTTTTTTTTAGCAAACACTCATTATATCATCTAACCAAATCCATAGGCTATTAATTTATATAGGTCTAACCCATATGATTAGGCTAGCACTGCTTTTCAATTGTGAGAGGTTACCCAACCAAAGGTTCCTACGCTCACTTTTGAACTATAGATTCCTCCTTCTCGAATTATGAGATGTCATACTTGCCTAATCCACATCGTCCTTATAGAGACTAGTGACACTGAGCATCATGCCTAATCCATGCCATACTTGAAGGTCAATGACAATATTAAACACATATATTAAATAAATATACCAACCACTATGCACAAACTCAATGGAGGTTACGTCATGTGGATTTTTTGAATAATACCCTCTACTATAATAGGGTCAACTCCCACCCATCCATGATCATACAAGTTCATTAAACATATGCCTAAAAATTCATGCTTTTAATCATCATGCACAACTATATAAACTTAGGCAACTCATTTTTCATAACCTAAGAATTTGCATGCATTTCTCACTACATAAGTCATTATACTCAAGCCAAATTCACTCTACAAGATCACATAGCCAATACATAGTCAATCATATTCAAGGATCCATAATCATGTATACATGCATCTCATAATCCAAACATCAAATCAATCCAATATAAACATATCAAGCCTTATAACTCAAGATCTTGATCTATGAAGACAAAAAGGAAAGGCCACACTCATGGTTCTATCACATGTTCCATGCTGTCAATCATTAATATAAAATTATAACTAGTAAATATAATTATATATTAAAATTAAATGTCTGATTACCTTTATTCTTGGGCTACTATCCCAAGACTATACTTTGGATTTCTTGAGAGAGCTTTCCACTACCATAAGCTTTGAAAACAATTATTCTACAATTAATAATCAATAATTAGCATCAATGACTAATTGTCATTAAGTAACCTTTAATTATGATTAAGGCCTAATACCCTAATTCGATATGATTAACTAAACTCAATCCTAAAACTCACCTTTATTAGTTTGTTTAACTTCTATTAAGCTTAATACTCACTTTAGCTACTCTCATTAGCTTAAACTTAATTATTTAATATTAGAATTAAATCTAAACCCTATTAATGACATTTAATGCCACCAACAATCAAAACCCAAGATTAAAGACATTTAATAACTCCCATTGACTCTATTGAAGTCATTAAAAGGGAGGAATAGGGTTGTCATTTTTGAACAACATCACCCAAACCCAAAAACATCCATGAAAAAGTATAGAGAAGAGAAGGGAAGGAGAAAGAAAACTTACCTAAAGGCTAGGTACTCAAAAACACCTTCAAACATCCTCTAACTAGACCCTTATAGAGCTTAGAAAACTTACCCAAAGGCCAGGTAGCTCAAAAACACCTTCAAACATCCTCCAACTAGACCCTTGTAGAGCTTTGGTCGACCCTCTTCAGACTCTCACTCTAACTTTCTCTCTCGTTCTATCTGTCCAAAATGCATTCTAAGATTTTAAATTTAGAAGCATTTGCCATGGCCTATAGCTCTGTTTGCCATGGTGGATGACACAATTTAGAGATTCTCACTTAAGCCCATTTGTTTGGACCTAAAGTGAACCTTTAGCCTCCCTATTCCCCTTATAAGCCTCATACAGGGTCCAATGAACACAAATGGCCATCCATACTCTTTAAATACCCTCTATTAACCACAATTAACTAATTAAACTTGTCAATTAATTAATTTAACCTTAGGATTAAATTTTTGGGATGTTACAAATCCCATCATGCAAAGTGTAACCCTCCCTTACTTCCACTCAATTATAGGAGAAGATTAACTAAATCACCATACTCAAACACCATCCAGTAATTAAATACTTTGTTTGAAAAGCTTGGGTCCAAAACTCATTTTGTAAAATCACCAAATTTATAATATATTTGAATAATGCGCAGTGAAAATAACCTATATGTATTCATAACATTATTTACATGCATTGAAAACCATAAAATCAAGTCAAATTAGGGCCATGAGTTGTGGTAGACAATACTTGTGCTACAGCATGTGGCATAAAGCCACACGCCTAGATCTCTTATGTGTCATACGCCGCGGTGTGATACATCATGCACCATGGTATACTGGTCTAATGTTATTGATGTCATTTAATAGCATATATGACAAATTTTTAATGTGCACAGATTTTACATATGACATCCGATCAGAGTAATTTAAGCACCCACATGAAGCTAATCTCGTAAGCTAACTAATGAGATAGGTTTGGACACGATCTAATGGTCTGATCAAAATTTAGACCCCCAAATGTAAAAAGTCACTTTCTAAAAATTTCATGCATCCAAGTATTCAAATCAATCCTTTAATCTCATTAGACCATTTTAGGCCTTGAATCAAGTCCATAAGGACCTATTACACCTAATTAACCATAATATACCATATATATACACGTACATCAAAATTTGGCTATTCAATAGCCAATTTTCATAAATCATACTTTTCACAATATGTCACAATTTGGCCTACTTGGCCTTTCTCACCATATTTTCATTACAAATTCACTATTCAAACATTCACAACACATACACAATTAAATCCTAGTCCTTGATTCTCATTTCACCACATATGTAAACAAATAGTTTAAGATTTCACAAAATCACTATAATTCTCAACAAATCACCACTTAGATATGCATGCAATCTTATAGAAACTTTATACACACTGTTTACTAAAAGTTTAGTTCATTACACAAACTTAGATCTTTCCAT